TTATCTTTAATGGATTTCCAAAATTCTGTATGCTCCCTTGTCCATTATGTTTTCTGCATTTTGGTTTAAATCAAAATTTATCCAATAGCATATTCTTTGTCGAGGATGAAGGCATTGGGTGTTTTCGCCAATATTTAATTTTATGTCAACTTCACAATTGTTAGTATAAATAGAGCATTTACTTGAAAATTATCACAATTTTCATCTGGCCCTAAATCGAGTTAGTGCAGACATTTATCTTGGAACTCTCTGGATTTGTGTTCCTGGTGCTATAAGCTTTCCAGAAATGTATACATGTAGTTTGTTTATTAGGGAGGACCATGTAGAGGAATTGTACAATGTACATGTATTTCTAAGCAAGCTAGAAATATCGGCTGCAGGCCTACATGTATATAAGGAGCCAAACGGTTGAACTCATGGCCAGATTTTTACAATGAATTAAGTAGTGCTATTTAATTTGTATTTGGTGCACTATTTAATGATGAAATTCAGAATTTATGTGTGAGGTGTGGCTAAATGGTTTATTATGACATTGTGTGCTTTAGATTTTAAGGTCTGTCATTCAGTCAAGTGGTGGGATTTTGATTCCCAGCATGTATTGAAAATCTTTTTGGTTTTCTTCAGGTCCTCTGGTTTCCTCCCGCTGCTTTAAAGATCCCTACGCGCAAGCAAATTATTGAAATAGAATTAAACCATACGTGTGTTAGTCCAAATATGACTTAGTTTGTGTTGAGTGTGTGTTCAATTCAATTTCTCTCCCTCTCTCAATTAATGATTACCGGTACTTACAATTTTGTCTGGCATGACAGAGTGTCAAAGGGAGAAAACTCCATTTGTAATATTGGGATGCAGACCGCCATTAATTTCCCTATTGACTTCAATGTTAATTCTGATTTCTTTACCCGGCTCCAACTTTTCCCAAAATTTTTGTTGGGCTGAACGCTTTTCACAACAGACAGAGCAGCAAATGGCCATGCCTTTATGAAAGGGTATCGCTGCCAATATTAAATGCATTGCTACAATGTCTTTTCCATTGATTATATGTAAAAAGTACAATGTACAAAGTCTTAATACTGGTAATGATAAAGTCAAAATGATGAAACTCTTGAGTATAGTTTCATTAAATCAATACCTTGAATAAGTTAGATCATGATCATTTTCTGTATAGGCTATATAAGTAGTGATAATCAATTTGGTCAGTGTGATAATCAATTTGGTCAGTGGTGAAACTTGATGTATAGTTTCATTACAACAATACATGTACCTGTGCCTTGACTAAGTTTGATGATGAACATTTTATGCTCAGGCTTAGTAGCGGTAAGTCAAGATTTTGGAACACAATAACTCAGCTTTTAGTTCAGGTAAAGTGTTCAAACTTATTGTACAGTGTAGTTGTTCTTTGGGTGCATGTCTTGACTGAGTTGAATTATTAGCATTTTGGGCTAAGTCTAAGCCGAGATAAGCAGTTTGATTGGTTGATGCTTTAGAACATAATTACTTTGATTCTAACAGGTGTATCAGTTTCACTATATCAAAACCATGAATTAGTTCCACCATGAGTATTTTCTGTTAAAAATGAATGTACAATTAATTAATATGTGTTGTCAATTTGCTTTTTCCTTTTTTAAAACTTCTTTCTCTAGAAGGTCGGTCTAATAATAATTAAGAGGCTGGAATAATGAAGTGATTGAAGTCATAAGTGTTGTTGATCAGATATACCTTCACCTTAATATTAGAGGCGTACATTGTATATAGTCACATTACTACAGTTTCTCTATGACAGATATAATTTGTAATTTGTCATATGAAACCTAATGTAAACCTGATTACTATCAGAGTAGGTTGTACTTAAAAAGCATTCGACTTGCTGGTTGTACAAATTCGTGTATTGTGGCGAAATGGCTCCTATGAAGTGGTAAGTTTAATATATTACATGCAATTGTTACATTATTTATTTAATAAGGCGAGGATGAAGTGGGAAGGTTAAAGGGGGTCAAGATTTTCTAACGGATCCACTAATAAACCGGTTGGGGGTCTGGGGAGCGTCGTAAGAATTTGAACTTTTTTTGCTGTTGTTCAGAATTCTATCCCAAGCTACATGTATCAGTAGTAGCAACCTGTCAGGGTTATGGGAGCGAATACCCTCTGACAATCTTGTGTAAAACTTTGGGATCATGAGAGGACAAACCCAATTGATTTTCAGTGTTCTGTGAACTGCCATTGCAGAGTTGACGCCCCTTTTCCCAAAACCTTGTTGACGCTATAAGAAGCTACAATTTTTAGTGGATTGTTTTCAAACTTGGTATAAAGCATACCATGAGAGGACAAACCCTATTGATATTCAGTGTTTCAAGATCTGCTGCTCTTGAAATACACCCCCTTTTCTGAAAATTTTGTTAATGTGGTAGAAATGTTTTCATATATTGTGTATGCCCTAGAGGCTGAAGTTAATATCCGATTGACTTTAAATATATACACAGTGTTTAATTTCATCAAACGTAGAAGACTATTGATTTTCAACGATTTTTGATAATTACATGTACTGCCTAATTTATGGCACTTGATCACTTCAAAAAATCTTGTGGACGCTCTAGAGGCTACAGTTAATATCCGATTGCCTTTAAATTTATACACAGTGTTTAAGATCATGAGACGAAGAAGCCCATTGATCTCTTTGAAACATCTTGTTGACGCTCTAGAGGCTAAAGTGAATATCTGATAGACTTTAAATTTATACACAGTGTTTTAGGTCATGAGATGCAGAAGCCTATTGATTTCCAACGATTTCCGATAATTACTGCCAGAGTTATGGCACTTGATCAGTTTGACATTTGGAAATAAGAGCAGGCCATAGCAATGCTGTCCAGGCAAAATTTCCCTCACAACACACTGTTTGGTGTATACCCGTCTTTATTAACCCAGTCGGTTCAGAATAGTCATTTGCATTCAGAATAATATTTACAATTAAATGAAAGGAGCCAAGCCTCTTTGTATTTTAACGGAGTATGTTGTAAATAGAATTAGTTTTACTTGTACTAGGATATTTGTTGATAAATGTCTAGGTGATATTTGCCAGAGACTTGCATATTTCAAACATTAATTACATGTACCTGATGTACTAACAATCATCTTTACTTGACTGTTCAGGGTTGATGACTTTTCAATGAAATAAAATAGAAAATGTGTCCCTGGTTGGACAACTTTCTCAGTGATGTCATATTGCTACTACAATGCAATTAAACACTGTATTTATATGTCCCACTTCACTGGCTAACTCTATATTTTCATCAAAAGTTTCATCTTTCTTTGTTATTGTGTTAAAGTTATATTAGTTAGTGCAGGAGGACGGCACCACACATAAAAAAGACACACAATATTATCAGATGTACAGGTACAATGTATGTATTGAAGAGATCTGCAGGGGACAGCTTTACGTGTCCACTGTGCTGTGCAGTGTAGTGATACTAACAATACAGGAAATAACCCATGAAAAAAGGGGGAGATTTCCAGCACGTTGTATCAGTCTAGTGTAACTTACATGTATAATCAGCTATGTGTTACAAGAAATTTTGGTGTTTTATCTTATTGTACTTGTAAAGTAATGTAAGAAAATTATGTTTGAAGCTTATCACATACTCTATTATAGAATTTATTAAAGATGCATTATGTAATAGGTAAATCTGCCCATTACAGATCTTTGGTTTGGCCTCAAATGTTATATATAAATGATTAATTAGAGATTTATTCACATGACAAGCCCATAATCAACTCTCTAGCGCATTGGATGTTTGTAATTTTGAACAGATTGAAACAAAGTAAAGAGTTAGCCATTCTTGCTATAAAAGTCCCAAAATAGATAATGTAAAATGAATAATTTGAAAATTTTATTCAAATTACGCTATTGTGAGTGAAAATATTAGCCTTTGAAGGTTTGACAAGATGTGCACTAATTGCAACCAACGTACTGGTTGTTCGAAGCTAAGTCTCATACCTCCATTTTTTAATATGGCTGAACCGTTCAAATCTACTTAATATCAGAGATATCCAATGACACCGAGAGTTGATTATGGTCTGGATAAGTTAATTAATGTCTACTTAATAATTTAGATAACATTTCAAGCCTAAAGAAAGATCTGCAATAGGCAGATTTAGCTATTGCATAATGTATGTTTAAAGATATATTTTTAAAAAATAGATAATCAAGACTTTGTTTTTTATCATACTAATGAAAGTCGAGACTACGCTATTCTTCGGTCAGAAGGAAGTAATTTGACTGAAATTTTGAATATGTTCTTTTTTATACGCCCACGTTGAAATGTGGTCGTATGTTCCTGTTGTCCCCGTCCGTCGGTCTGGCACCGACAATTGCTTAAATTTTTACAGTGTTAATGGTCATTAGATGAAGAGGCCTATTGATTTTCAACAATTTCCGATAATTACTGCCCGAGTTATGGCCCGTTCTAAGAGGCTAAAGTTAATATCCGATTGACTTTAATTTATACACAGTGTTTAAGGTCATGAGACGAAGAAGCCTATTGAATTCCAATAATTACTGCAAGAGTTATGGTCCTTGATTACTTGAGAAATCTTTTGGATGCACTAGAGGCTAAAGTTAATATGAATTTATACACATTGATTAAGGCCATGAAACAAACAATCAAAACAAATTCTAATGATTTCTGATAATTACTTGATGGGTTGTTACTCGCTATCAGATTTTAGTGTGTTGTAAATGTTTTCATTACTGACAAAAGAAAAAATATGTGACAACCCTTTTTGACTGCTCAGACGACTTAGCTGCTGTGTGCGTATGTTTTGTTGCCTGGCAACCTATCTTAACAGATTTTGTACAAATTTAGTGTGAAGCATTAGGATTTTGAGAGGAATAACCCTATTGATTTTCATTATCTATTTTTAAATTATTATAGCGAGAAGTGTCCACTCCTTTATCTAAATCTTACATTATGCATCATTGAAAAATTAATTAATTTTTATTACAGCTATGCCCGCATCCTGGCACATTATCCATGTATTGTTCTGGTGGTGGTATTGGTTGTTGCTGTTACTTGTTTGGTTGTGTCAATCACTGTGGGCGAACAGCCTGACTTTTCAGATCCTTTGGCTGTAAGTATACATGTACTTGATTTGATAGTACTTTTATTATTTACATGTATTAATACTGTATTATTTTTTTTATCTTGTCTACAGCTTTATCTTCTGGGTTTCTATTTGGTTATGTGTTGTGTGGTTCTCCTGTACTTACTTTTAGTAACAGAAATTCAACCAGTGTTGAACCAGATGTCGGTATTTAATTGCAGTAATTTGAGATACATCAACAAACTGAAATATCATTCAAATGTCCCTTGGTAATTAAGTGGATGGTGTTATGGGTGTATGTCTTTAGTAGATGGTGTCATGGGTGCGTGTCAATGTCCATGTTCAGCACAGACCCTTTGGTCAAGGTAACACTCATCTTGAAATGTTGGACTGTTATAGTTTGACTTAGCAAGATGTACATGTAGTTACCCACAGAAAAATCACACTATGACAACCTTTATGGACTGCTCAGAGAACTGAGCTTCTGGGCATATAGTTCATTGCCTAGCAATCTATCTTTGTAGTTTGCTGTTGAATTTAACTTTATTCATATGCCTAGTTTTGTATTGATAACATGAATTCTGTACTATGGAACATCTATTACTTCTCCTGAGCAAAATTGCTATGTTGATTTGCTAGTCAGGAGTGCTGAATCATTAGCATTTTGAAGTGAGATAAGTCTGAAGAATTTGAACTGAAATACATCTGCAGACCTTAACTAAGATCAGAGGCACTGATGTTTCTCAAACGTGTCCCCTATTTCTTGTCATTCTTGACAGATGGCAACTGACTAATCACCTCATCTTGTACGGATCGTCTGCTTAGTGAATCCGATTGGGCAAAAGTACTTAATGTTGTGGACTTTCTTGAAAGTGAAACTGAAACTTGATGCATAAAATGTAAACTTGAATGATTTCCTTATGTTTTTCGTCTGATATAACCTTCATCGCTACTTTCAATAAACTTGAAATGGCGATGTTCACACTGACCTACATGATAAATTTGAACTCAACTGATCACTGAAAAATTTATACAGAGCAGTACAGATACAAGAAGGAAAGTATTTGGTCGCTAAATGAGAGAATGAATCATGATACTGGCTTGACAATTGTCTTTAGATTAGATTACTAGACTTGAACCGAAAATTTTAAGCGGAATTTGTCATCTGGAAGCCGATTTCAAACACTGGATGGACCCAAAAAGTATGTGGTCCCAGGCATGTAGAACAATCCTTGACATTTGGAAATTGATGACGAGTTGGGTAAAAGTTTCTTCATAGCACATTGCTATACAAGTCTTAAATTGCCCAGATGTTGTGGAAAATCAGGACTTTAAATCCCATTTCATTTTAGAAGTAACTTGCGTAGTTCTAGAATTATGACCATTGTAAACTTTGTAGAAACTTGTAAATGCTTCAACAGCTAAAGTCATTAAGTGATCTATTTGAAATTTATGTTCTTTGTTTTGATTTTTATGATGAATTAAAATTACACCCATTTCTAATAACCATTTATAGAGTTATTGCCCTTGATAATGTCATAAAATTTTGTCAACTGTTTATTTACTTAAAGATTCATAGTGCGACAAAACTAATGGACTGCTTGGATGAATTAGCTGCTATGGGCATATGGTTCATTGCCTGGCAACCTATCTTTACACTCGTTCTGTACTTACATATTTGTGGTAGTTGAGTTGGTCAGTATGTCACTATGTAAGTAGGTTTTGCCTACATTAAAAGTAAAATATGACTTCTTCACACAGGGCAATAGTCTTGATATTTGATTATCTTATTAGGTCTGTCAAAATCCATAGAGCATTGCAAACTATGGGAAGACATACAATTTGACAATGTAATAAGTAGCTGTAATTACACATATATAGAAGAAAGAGTAAGTAATAGAAAAATACAAGAGAGAAGAGAGATTAAAGAACAATAATTACCTGACAGGTGGATCTACATGTATATAAGACAATTTTAATAGATATTCATGTCCTATTAAGACCTTTATATTAATCCTTTGATATGATTTGTATAAAATGTATGTTCAACTGTATATAAAGTAATATGGAAACTGATTTGGATTTGGACTTTTGTTTTGATAAATAGCGACCAACTTCACCAGAATACTGCCCATCAGTACATTATCTAATTTTGAACTAGAGACAAAAAAAGTGAAAATATTGATTTTGATCGAAATTGAGATTTTCACAAAAATGAGTCTATAAATATACTATCTATCACAGAAAAAAGTTAAAAATAGCAATAATAATTAGCATCGTTGTAAAGCGGAGAATCTCTAGTTTACAAATATGACCAAAATATTGCCGATGAATTCATTTTGAATGGATACATTGGAGTTTTAAAACCCCTAAAAAATGTAAACAAACTCCGCTTGTTGCTATGCTGTCTACACAACTCGTTTGCTGATTGGCCCAGGCACCGCATGCAAAGCATTATGGTTACGTGGCTGGCTCGAGCGGACGACAGATATTTGGTTTTGGCGATAATGTTTTTGGGTACCTACATGCAATTCACTCTGATAAGTGGCAGTAAAAAAATTAATTCTGACCGTATATAGATTGCCGTTGAGTGTTAATCAAAACCACGTGGCAAAATTATGTAAATTAATCGACAAGTGAGTGTGTCATTGAGTAATACTAATCAGCCGTCATGGATCAATGATAAAGCCTTCGACAACTCATTATTTACTCTGAATAATTAATCCAAGTGGTGATTATTTGATATCTGGTTTCATCATTAAAATAATAATCAATAGGCCTTAAATGGAAATAAACAAAATGGCCAATAATTTTCTTTTCGAAGAGAATTTTATTGATAGCTGAATTCCATTTACTGTCGCTTCTTCATACAGCATGCAAAGTAAGGAATGCATATTGGATATTATTGTTTAAAATTCTCTTATCACCATGGGTCGAAAAAATGAGAACGACCAACCTGCTGAAATGCGACGATTCTCGAGTGGGAAAAACAGTCTGCCATTGTTTGATTACATCAAAACCAAACTGCTTGAAAGTGAACGTAAGCATTTCTTGCCAATGAAATTGACCTTTCTATAGGGACTCATATTTTGATACCGTTACGGTACCTGAAAATAATAATAGACATATCGTACACGCAAAACCTTATTTTAGTTCACATGTTAAAAGAACACATGTTAAGCTGTGGCAGTTTTTTGATGATTACCCAATCAACAACCTTAATTTCCTGACCACTAGCTGGTGCTAATTAATTGCTGAGATTAACTGATTAATCTCACCAAATTTATAATATACAAAACATAGACTACTAATGTATAGATTGTTCTTCAGTATAACACTATCATGGGAATATGACGCATGTGTTGTTGATTTTTTGTTACGAAAAGTGTGCATTTACTACGATTTTCGTCTTCAGCAACCTTGAAATGCCAAATAAAAAAATATTAAACAACAAAACAGCAATAAATGGTGGAAATTGTCGGATCAAATTTTTACTCTGATTTTCATCTTCAGCAACCCTGAAAACCCCAGGTTGCTATGGGATTTTGTTTTGGAACATACCAAATCTTTGACTTGCTTTTTCTCAAAACTTACTTTTGTGAGTTGGGTAGCTTCAAATGGACACAGCTCAGTCAGTTTTTGCCCGATTCAAACAAACTAATTAGTTGGAGAATGTGAAAATAACAATAACTCAATTTTCAAAATTTTCTCATTGTGACTCATTATGCCATGACAGGTCACATTTATGAAAAAACTTATTTGAGTTTTGTTTTTCATCTAATAGGTAATACAAGTTATGAATATGATTATTATATTAAATGATATGTATATATAAATATAATTTGTTTTCTTTTTCATATTTGTTGCTTATTGATTATGACATATGACAATAAACTAGATCATAAATAATATAAGAGAATAATTACGATAATAATTGATCATATAAGAATAAGAAATGATCATATAAGAATAAGGAAATGATCATATTAGAATAAGAAATGAGCATATAAGAATAAAGAATTGATCATATAAGAATAAGAAATGATCATAGGAAGATCATAAGGAAAATATTTAATAATACTATACTAAGCAGCAAAAGAAACGTCAAGTTGGTATGTTACTCTGAATAGACGTATTGCATAAAACTTGCCAAATGTTTTTATTGTATATTTGTGACCACATCTCCAACATTTAGTAAGTCGTTTTCTAGAATGATTTGATTAAAGTACCTCTCTGATTTTGAAATCGTACTGACAGGTTTTTTTTGCTGTTTAGTATATATGAAAAATAAGAAGAGAATAAAGTATCTTCTGAGCTTTTGCACAGTCTTGATGATTTAACAGTGTTGAAGACATACACAATTATGATATACTGAGCGCCATGGAAAACGCATCCCTTTGTTTTCCTAAATATTTTATTACTAGGTGGTTTTGTATGTATAATATTATGTAATACTATGAACTATTGTTTCACACAATGCTCCCAAATGCAAAAAATATCGGCCCGTGTGCACAAAAAAAAATTGCACGAGATGCATATGAAAACCCCAATATTCACTTGCAGCATTGTGTGTGAGCCCTTTAAAAGCATGTTTTCAACTTAATGTGCAGTACATGAACTGTGAAACGTCAATCTGTCGTAATTTGTTGTTGGACGTGTGAAGGAATCGAGCTAGAGATGTCACGACTTACTGAAAATCAACGGAATGAAGCCATGGGAATGTCCAGGGCTGGCATGTCTACACGTGCTATTGCCAGACACTTCAATTGTCATCAGTCCACTATTGTAAGGTTGTTGGAATGTGTTCGAGTTACTGGATCAACATGTGACCGTCAACGTCCTGGTCCACAACGCGTTTCAACCCAGGCTCAAGACCGCTACATCCGGGTCACTCATCTGCGTGACAGATTCCGCCCAGTGACTCCAACAGGTGCAGCAGTTGCGGGAAGACAAGGACCAGTAAGTGCCAACACCGTAAGACGTTGTCTCAGAGAAGTACCTTATGTTGGAACTATCCTCAGGGATCA